AGCGTCATTTGTTCCTTTCTGTTTACGGCGTTGCTTTATTCCTGCGTTTTTGTGAAGTAACGAAAAACGACATTGCTCTCACTACTGAAGCTGATCCTGAGTTGCTGTCGTCTCTTCTTGATGTTCACGATAAGTATGTTTTCTTTATTCTTTTCGCCATTAGGTTAAAAGTTAGGATTCATGCATATCATGGACAAGGAGGCGATCGAAAACCGTATCAAATCTGTGTGTAATCACAGAAATCTGGAAGTTACCTGCGATAACTTAGAAAAACTTAAGCAACTTATGCTTTCTGAGTTTCATGCTTATCAAAATTCATTTAATCCAAAAAATGCGACTGAAGTTCACTTAGCCCACGTCAATGCTATGGAAAAGGATATACAAATCTTAGAATTATACATTAATGAAATGAAACAAAAAGAAACCCTAAATAATCCAACAGAGGAAACAAATCAATCTGATATTACTGCTAGTCAAAAATCTAGAATCAAAAAGAAAACCACAATAGATAAAGAAGATAGAAGAAGGATACATAACCCCTAGAAAAAACTCATAAAAGAACTCTATCAAATTCCGAAATTGAAGAACCAGCTCAAAAAAATAAATTCGAGGAACTAAACCCTGAAGACAATATGGAAGCAGAGGAAGGTGAATTTATTACACCCAACAAAAAAGCAGGACACATTCCCCCTATAGTCTTAGCAGACTTCACGGGGGATTGGGATAAGATGAAAAAAGAAGATTTTGAAGAGCAATTAAATATCAAAAAATATCGTGGAAACCTAAGTGGAGGTACACTGACCATAAGAGTTTATGACTCAGACCACTACCGCACAGTTACTGAATACCTAACTAAACTACTTATTCCTTTTCATACTTTTAAACTCAACAGTGAAAAGCCTATCAAGGCAATAATTAAAAAAAAACTTCCAAAAACAGCTAATATGGAACTAATCAAAAACGAAATTGCCCAAGAAGGTATCCCAATTCAAAAAATTCGACAAGTAATTCACACTATTGAAGGAAAGAAAGTTCATCTTCCTGTTTTTATAGCAGAATGTACTAGAAATAAAGAAGTTAAAAGAATGTATGGTCTAAAGAAACTCAGAGGTCTGGATGTCTTTATCGAGCCTTTTAAAGCTCGCCCTGGACCCGTGCAGTGCCATAAGTGCCAAAGGTACGGGCACACACGGGACAAATGTCACTATAAACCTCGCTGTTTAAAATGTGCAGAGCCTCATGAAACATTCACTTGTAAACAAACAAAAAAAAAATGACAACAAACTCCCTGTCTGTGCCCTCTGTGGGCAAAATCACGTTTCTTCCTTCAAAGGTTGCAGTAAACATCCTTATAATGTTCAGAAGCAAATCGAAGAATCTAAAGCTTTCAAAAGAAGAAAAGAAAAAAAGAACAATTTTAAATTTAACAAAAAGGATTTTCCTTCACTCCCTGAGAACAAACCAAAAAATGCATGGAATACTTCCAAGGAAAATGAAAAAATGAAAACACTAGTAAAACAGAAGACACAAACTCAAACCCACTTGGCTTTTTTGACTGGATAAAAATCCAATTCACTCAAGTTAAAGAATTCTTCCAGAAATTTAAAACAGCAAAAACAATATTAGACAAAACTAGAGGTCGGTATGGCGGCCTTCGAATATTTCTCAAATCTAAACTATGAATTTTAATCAAACTCATAGTCAAATAAATTTTATCTCAGCTACAAATAGCTTCTTAAAGATTTGTTACTATAATGCAAACGGCATCAGATAGATACCAACAAGTGGAAATTTCAAATTTTCTTACTAGACATAACATTGATGTTATGCTAGTAAATGAAACCCATCTCCGCTCTTGCGACAAATTTAAAATACAAGGCTACCGCATCTACAGAAAAGACAGAAGACATAATAGAGGGGGAGGAGGAAACGCAATTCTCATTAAAAACCATATCAAAAACAGCCAAATATGATTTAAATCCTGCTTGTACTATAGAAAATGCTGCAGTACTTATCTATAGTGGTTTTTTAGAGAACCTTTTCTTTTTATCTCCGTCTACAATCCCCCCTCCAGCACTCTTGATCTCAATAATCTGAAACTACTTACTGAAAATAACTACCCCACCTTAATAGCAGGTGATTTAAATGCTAAACATTCCTCTTGGAACTGTAGAGTCACAAATAGAATGGAGAAAATTTAAGCAACTTCATCCACAATAGTAACATCAATCTCATTGCTCCCAATCACCCAACGCACTATACGCACAACGGACTAGGGGGATATTTTAGATATAGTTTTGATGAAAAACCTTCCTAATATTCCTAATCTTGATGTTCTCCCAGAACTTTCGTCTGACCATCTCCCTATAGTCTTCAACTTCTATGGATTTTATCCCCCTCTCCCTAAAGCTCATACAAAAGTAAATTGGTATATGGTTACCGAACAGCTAAATTCTGTAAACAGCAGAGCCACACTTCGTTATGACTGTGATATTGAGCTGGAAATCGCCAGAGTAAACTCCAAAATTCAAAACGCTATCAATAATTCTACCTATACAGTCAAGAATAAAAATCCCTATGGCATCCCAGAAGAAATTAAATCCCTTATACAAGAAAGAAATAGACTTAGAAAAAGATGGCATATTACTCGCAATCCTACTGAAAAACGTCATATTAATTATTTAAACAGAAAAATAAAAGAAGACATCGCCCACCCATCGATCAAATTCGTGGGATAATTTCCTAGAAAAACATGGATCTTTACCCAAACTCTGTTTGGAAAGTAGTAACTAAATCACTCAGAAATCTTTCACCCAATCAAATTCACCCCCTGTATCACATGGGCAAAATTTCACCACTCCGAAGACTCCATTGCTGAAATTCATGCAAAAGAATTAGAAAACATTTTTAAACAACATGAAAATAAAAATTCTGATCACGAAAAAGATATTAATTACTCTGTCAATAGCATCCTCAACAGTCCCAGCATTAATTTTTTTACGCCTGCATCTCCAAACGAAGTTCAGCAAATTATTAAAAAAAAAAAGAAGCGCAAAGCTAAAGGATATGACATGATTTCTAATGAAGCGTTGCAAGCTTTACCTAGAAGATGCATAGTCTTAATTACAAATATTTTTAATGCTTGTATTAGACTCAGCTACTTTCCATCGCAGTGGAAACATTCGATCATTGTTACGATCCCGAAACCAGGAAAAGATCCAAAGCTAGCAAAAAATTACAGACCCATCAGTCTTCTGCCAGCGCTTGGAAAAGTTTTCGAACGAGTACTTTGTGCTCGGCTCACCAATCATCTAGAACGCCTTAATCTAATAGACAAGCATCAATTTGGATTCCGCAAAGGCCACAATACCACACATCAAATATTAAATTTAGTTGAATTTATTGCCCAAGAATTTACAAAAAAGAACGGAGTAGCGGCATGCTTCCTCGATTTCGAAAAAGCTTTCGATCGAGTGTGGCATGCTGGCTTACTTCATAAGCTATCTAACTTCCTTTTACCAAACAGCTTTATTAAGCTTATGCATTCTTATTTTAAACATCGCACTTTTCAAGTGCGCTGTGGTGAAGCAATCTCTTCAAAAAAAGTGATTTACAGTGGAGTAGCTCAAGGCAGTGTTTTAGGACCGAAGCTTTTTACAATATTCATAAATGATATGCATCTACCTTTTCATTCTAATATACTTAAATATGCCGACGACACAGTCATCCTCACCAGTTCACGAAGTCCAAATAATGCTTTAGAGAAACTTCAGCTCCAAGTCAACATTATTAACAAATTTTGTCAAGACTGGAAAATCAAACTAAATACTGATAAATGCTGCGTAGTTCTCTTTCGCAGATACAGAAAAAATATCCCAGTGAATATAAATATCCGACTCAATAACCAAGATATTCCTGTTGCCAACTCCTATAAATACTTAGGTGTCTATATTGACAAAACCCTAAATTTCAAAGATCATATTCAATATGTTACAAATAAGGCTAACGCTGCTTTCATTGCTCTCTACTCATTAATTGGAAGAAAAACTCTAAGTTAAACCTCCGTACCAAGAAAAATATCTACATCTCACTTATTCGACCAATAATCCTCTATGCAGTTCCAGCCTGGGCTACTGCCCGAAAAATAGACAGACAAAAAAAAACTAAATGTACTTCAAAACAAAATCTTACGTAGCATAGTGAACGCACCCTGGTTCGTGCGAAATTCTCAAATTCACAAAGACCTGGATATCAATCCAATTCACGACCAAATCCTAATTTCTGCACACAACTTCTTTGAAGATATGAGAAATTCTCCTATGAAGCTATTAAATCGCTTACAGACTATGACCCTACTATTGAGAACGTAGTGAAAAGACCTCGAACGATCCACCACAATTCTAAGTGGTGGTAGTGTATATAATATGGAAAAAAAAAAATACTATTCCTTTGCAGTTACTCTTCAAGAAAGATGAACTTTGCAAAATCAGGAATTTATTTTTCATCGATGAATTCTTCGTTTTACTACTTATTTAACCAAGATTTTTACTTTTACTTTTTATTTTTACTATTTCGTATCATGTGTTTTAAAATCAAAGTTCGGTAACACCAAGTGCTTACTCTCTCATTAGCCCTAGTGAGCTACATGACCTCATTTTCGCCTTTTACAGTTTCCTATTCATTTAATGATTATATCGCAAGATTAGAAGATTTTCAAGTGTTTCAAAGACATAGGACTCTTAAATTCACAAATAGATGTTGCTTTTACTATGTTCGAACTTTATTTATTGCCAAAAACTACAAAAACTTCATTTTTCGAACTCTGACTCCTCGACCAATCTAAATGCCGGACGCTGATCACGTGTTTCTGCACTTCTTGACTCACGCAGAAGCTTAGACTTTCATTTTGCTTCTCGCCACCATTTACGTATATAATCACCCATGCTATGCCATGCAATTTAGCAAAACTTATTTTATGAGTTCTCTCATTTATTGATTTCGCCTTCGGGCGCGGTGTATTTTAAATACACCTCTTAAATTTTTAACTTTATGGCCTATGGTAAGATGATAATATACTGGTAAGAGCTCCTAGTAGCTAAAGCCAGCAGTAAAGATATGATCCAAGAGCTGATGTGTTAATTTACAGCAGACATTGAGCGACGGCATTGCTTTCTGTGTTTCGAGCGTCATTATTGACTTCACGGTGAGTTGCTTCAGATTTAACTCAATGCCGAGTTTTCATTCTGTCATACTTATGGGTACTTTTACTGCATAATATGCAGTTATTTTATAACATCATCTTCATACTGTAGCCTCCATGACATACATGATAGCGAACACAGAACGAATTTTGAAGTTGTGGATGAAATAGCTGATTTGGTGGTTTCATACAGGAATAAAAAGATTTTGTAATTACCCTCATCATGTCGTCATTTGAACATGAAAAATATTTTTTTATTACTTTTAAGAACAAATGTATTTGCTTGATTTATGATTCAACAGTTTCTGTTGGGGTAAGAAAAAGGAACACATATCAACATTTTACAACAGATCATAAAAACATGATGCTAACAGTAATCAAGAAAATGTCAAGTGAAATAACTGAGTACATCCCATGCCCAATAATGTGCTTACTGGGCATGTTATTGAGCAACATATATTTGCAGTTCACACACACATACAAACAAACAAATAAAAAATAAAGAAGCAGTGCTTGATGCATTGGAAAATTTATTTCAAGAAGCTAAAAATAAGAATGAAGTTATGTCAGCTGTCCAGAATGTTCACTTATCTAGAAATGAAGTCATTCGTACAACAGAAGTTATGTGTGCTCTTAGGGGGAAAAAGTATAAAATAAATTAAAAATCTCCAGTAGTAAAGAGGACTTTCCTAAACTGAATTCTTACGATCTAATTAAAAATTCTGACATTACTTTTACATATATGCAACAAGATTAAATCTTAGTGCTGGAATTGAAACTTTAGACTAATTTTTAAAAAAAAATTCTGTTCTTCAGTCTTGTTTTTTAGCCATGTTTTCCATTTTTAACTCTAAATAAATCCTTCCAAGTGTTAATTTTAAGAATACGTATTCAGTGTTGATGTTGCCCATTGCATGGAATGCAAATAAACCACCTGCAGTTGCACATATTAAGTTATTTTATGCAATGTCTGAAAAACTGGGGACAAAAATTTTTTATATATGCTACATTTTCTTAATTAATTAACCTCATAAATACTTTAATATTAAAAACAATAGGAAGATGCACCCAAAAGTTTAGATTTACAAATGCAAAACATTTGCTGTAATTTAAAATCTGTGCTTTCTGTAAAAATAGACAGCTTATGCAGAAGCTAAAAATGCTAAATATTTTTTCAATAACTTTCCTTCTTTGATCAAAGTGGGTTAAGTATAAAGCATTTTTACTAAAATGTTTATTTGCATATACATATAAATAAATCGCTTTTAAATAAATTTACCATTCTGAAGCAACAGTAACTTGACACTACAACCCATTTTCATAACAGATGTACCAGCACCTGTTTAGCTTTTATTCCATCTGCTGACTATTTTCAGGTCTTTTTCTATGCTGAGCTCTAAAATTATTTCGCCAATACATTAAAACATATATGGGTTTTAAATTAAGTTTAAAATAAGCTGAAAACTGCCAGGATTCATACTGAAATTGATTTTCTTTAAATTTAGAGTACACATTTGTTTTTGTTCAGTATTTTTGAGCCAATTAAATAAAAATTTCCATGAGTAATAAAAATACCATTTAATGTGAAAAAAATACTAATAACAGACTAGTAACTGTTCAGTGCACACACTTTATTAAAATTCATCAGAAATGCAACTTGTTGTAAAAGTATTAACAAAGAAAAACAATACAAGGCTCTCAACCTCTGTATCCGTGAGCAAAGAATACATTTTGTAACTTTTGGACAAAAAGGGATGATAGTTTTAAAAAATACTTTTTATTTATTTTTCATTTATATAGTTGAAATTTGAAAACACATAGCAAAATAATAAAAAAATATATGAAAATCTTCAACAAAATACAATGATGTTTGAAGATTTAATGATAAAACAAAACATATGAGGTTACATAAAGAAAACAATTTGCCAATAATAATAATAATAATAATAATGAATTACTAGAAATCAAATAGTGAATCTTAACTATACATATTCAGAATTATTTTTCTGAAAACATACCAAACAATAACAGAAAATAAAATTTGTATCACCAATTTATAGCCTCATTCTCAGTAAGAATGTCAAATGTAAATTTTGTATCACTGATCTACCTACCACATTTTTATCGATGGACCTACATATGGACATGAAAAGACCACAACTGCAGAGCCCGTAATATTTATGATGAGTGACCAGGGAAACCAACATGGCTGCCTATCCTAGTGCAAAAATGCTATCAGTAGAATGAACTAACTAATAAGAAGAACTCAATGCCACAGGTAAACAAATCTCATTCTGAAATACATCAGAATGAAATGAAAAGTAATATGCAGTTTATCTGAAAGAAGCATGTAAGTTTTTTAAAAACTTAGTTACCTAATGCTTTCTGTATTTTTAAAGATTTTTCTACAACAGGCTAACAGCCTATGGTATTGCATAGTATCATTCACAGAATGATTAATAATGAATTTATTATTATTAGATGTTCATGAGGTTGGTCAAAACTCCTGACCTATGGCATTGAGTACTAAATTTTAGCCTTTTTCCTTTTTAGATTATAAAAATGCACAAATACTTAAACTAAGAAAAAAATTAACAAAATATTATTTAACTGTTAACATTTCTGAATTAAACATAAGCTTTATTGCATCTTTACCCAGATTCATAAAATGATTATAAAATTTATACATATACGCATAACCACATCAATGATAACATGAATATGTTAATGAAGCTAATCTGAATGCAAACATTTTTTTAACTAGATTTACATGAATTACCTAATCAGGTGGTATTTCCTTCATTATTCAATAGTCTTGTATGAAATGTTATTGAGAGTAATTTAAAGGCAGAAGAGCTATAAATTAGTACACATAATTTAAGACTCCATTTTTCTTTAGTTGCAACAGTAACACATACGAAAATAAATTTAATTAAAAAAAATATAGAAGACAATCCAATATTTTCAAGACAAATACCACCCAATATTCTATTGAAGCAAAGATGAATTGCTACTATAAATAAATGCAATTTTACATCTTGAAAGGCAATAATATATATATGGTATGTATATTACACAGAATAAAATTTGGTTCCCACACTTTTAGCTCGGGTAACAATTTCAATTATCCACCTGATGTAGTGATAAATGGATTTCTAATGCACAAATCACGTTTTTTAATAAAGAGAATGGTTATTGAGTAAATTGAAGTACAAGATAAAGCACATAAAATTCTGAATTCATTTTTACTACTTAAGTGTATAAGATTCAGAAATCTTTATAAATTGTGTTTCCAAATAAGCATTTGTGCACATTTTGCTTTTAATTTTGATCAAATTTTATGCTTGCTTTTAGTTTTAAAGCAAGCAAAAAAGCATGTGTTCATTTCTTTGAGCCAGTAGAGTATATGCATGTATGTGTGTGTATATATGTATATATATATATAGATAATAGATGTAAAAAAGATAAAAAAAGACCTAAGATAACCTGAATAGTAAATTTGAAAATGTGTATATAATTGTAAAGCCAGATTTAATAATTGGCAATATAAGCTGCACTTGTTTTTTTATTAAGTGCCTATTAATCTAAAATAACAGAACAGAACTTTACAAATACTAATCCACCTCAAATAATAAAATTTTTAAATTTTAAATCTATATAATATATTAAAGGAAAAAAAATACTACAAAAGAAACATTACAAAATGCACTCGGGATCTACAGTATAATTTGGCAGCGTCACCAATAGATCTGAAAGCTGATTTTTAACTTAGATATAATTGATATAATGCAGATAAAACATTACAAGTAGTAAAGTGTTCACAAATATTAATTTCATATGATTGAATAATTTTCCTATAATATGTTCTTTTCTACTATTCAAAATAGTTAAGGTACATTTACAATTTTCTCAAGACTGTTCAAAGCATGATGCATCACAAAAGTTCTCTGACCTTTCCTGCACATATTTTCTCGTAAATGCACAGGTTTCTGGGAGCTTGGTATCCACATCTTGGCTGGATCTTGCTGCCCCCATACCCCAATAACATGAAAATTGAACGAGAAACCTGTGAAAATGTCCTTAACACAGTAAAAGCAGGTCAATAATAAGTTTCTCTTTCAACCCATCCACCTGGATTTCGACGTAAAATGAACCGCCGCACTTCATCATAAACAAATATTAAAAGTGAAAATGGCAAAGCGGGTAACCACCAATTGAATCTGAAAAATTTAACAGTGCATTATTAAAGTGGGCAAAGTAAGAAAGATATTACATTTAAAACATAAGAGAAACATGAAACCCATAAACAGAAACATGAAATTAGAGGAATGACTTAATGATGATCTTCTTTTAAATTGAGCTTGGTTTTCTTTCTCAAAACAATCTCTACAAAATAATAATAAGTCAAGAAATAAAGGAAGGTTATTTGCTAGTTCATACTACAGGATAATATATAAACTATAGGTGACATAAAAATAATTTAAAAACATGGACTATTAAATGCAGGAAAGATAACTTAAGGCCTCTTTCAAATGAAACATTTAGTGATCGTTAGTCGTGATACGTCATCAGTTGCAACTGGTTTTGCTGTTTTGATATTCAATTGAAACACAAAGATCACTCTGAGCTCGCAATCGATCGTTCTTGTAGCAATCACTCCGAACCCATCATTCCGCATGTCAAAAAAAGATTGAATAAATATTTAGTCTGTGTTGTTAGTGCTTTTACGAAGACAGAATTCAAGTGTTCTAAGGTACTTAGAATTTAAGGGCAATCCTTTAGATCTACTGAATGGGCAGAAATTTATATCAAAGTATATGGTGTATAAGGATCCTAGCAAGGGGAGCCCATACTTGACAACTATGACACTCAAAAATCAGGAGTTTTTTTAAGAAATCAGGAGATTTTTCACAATGTTAAAAAGACTTTTTAAATGATAAAAATATAGTTTTTAATAATGAATTAACTTTAAATAGTTACTAATTCTTAAGTGTAAGCAACACAAAAATACCTTACACATAAAAAATTTTTTATTACTTGCATCATTAAAAAAAAAAAAAAAAAAAAAAAACTGAAATGTTTCAGATTTTAAATTACGTCCAAAGGGGCCTTTTTTAACATTTTGTGTGTTACCTTTCTTTATTTTATTTCCTTGTTCCTCGCACTTAAACCATAAGATCCAGTGCAACAGCAATAATGCAAAATAGTTTTAAATATCTTTAGAATTTCCGATACAGAGACTCACGCGCTGGAGATAAAAATGTTTTTTTGCACAACGCTGCCATTGCTTGCTTTGAAATCCTTGAGTTTGTTAATCAAAAATTCGTCAAAGTTTTAAAAAATAGGAAATCGATCATAAAACAAATTTCAAATTTGGTCTTCCACATGCTCATATTCGTTGAACGATTACGTTATTCAAAATTCGATGACTCTATGTACCGTTATTTTATGACAATGTGAGAAATATACATACATTTACGCAGATTTTCATTATTTAATTTCTTCAAATATAATGCAGGACTCTAACATTTTATGGCAACAGTTTGAAAAGTGAACCGACGTTTATCCATCCGACGCAAAATGCCAAAACGAAACTAATAGTCCTTCGGGATTCAAATCCCTTTGGACTAAAAAAAAAAGACACTTTAATCAGTTTTCGTACAAATGTTATGAATAGTGGCAGATTTTGCTTTCACTAAGAAAGAAACTTCATAATTTTGTTCACAGCAATTGCCACATAGGCCTGCTTTCGCTAATGAAAGCTTTTCTAATGTGTCATCACTAATATTAGATCTAAATTTAGTCCTCATTTTCACAACAACACTGAAAATCCTCTCTGCATTACTATGGGGAACTGTGAAGATGGCCAACATAGTTCTAGCCAGTTCATTATACTTTAAAATTCCATCAGCACCTTTCAGTTTTCCAATCAAACTCCAATAGGTGTCAATCCTAGCTGATTTTCCTCCTGAGCCTTCCTTTCCTAGCTGAGCTTGAACTCCATCAAAGTTTTCTAATTATAAACTGCAAAATTGTGACTGCAATATATCAGTGGCAGCATCAATATCATCATGTTTCATGATTAAATGAAGTAACACAGGAAATCTGTTCAAAAAGTACCTTATATCAGAAAAAGATGCATTTGCCAGAGCAGAAACATCAGCAACTTTAACATGCAAAATCACTTCCTCGTTGACTGGAAATTTATGTAGTTATGTAATCACATACTCGACAGAAGTAGATAAAACTTATTTTTGTCTTCTTCTGAAAGTTCTTCCACTACTTTTGTAGTTGCAGCTCCTATTACCAAATCTTCATCTTCCTTCTGATTTTCTATTTCACCATAAATCACATCATATATAGAATTACAAGACAAAACACAGACTGGTTTTACAAAGTTTGATAAAATGTCTTTAAACAGATCATAAATCATTGATTGCAAAACATGAATTAATGGAATTCTGCTTTGTAGAACTGTGTTAAGAACATGGAATGATGGAAAAATGAATTGTAAAAAAAAAAAAAAAAAAAAAAAAAAATGCAAAATGCTTTGTTAAGGTTCCAAGAAAAAAACAAATATTCGTTCGTCACAAGATAAACTTGAGAGTAATCGGAAAATGTTTCGTGTGTTGAGCAATTTTTTTATTTTGAGAGAATTTCATATCAGCTTTACACTTATATTTTTAGTATTATTTTGAGAACTGCCAGTTGAATTGCTGAATGGTGAAAAAATTACTTTATTTTTTTCAAACCTATTTTTAACAATAGAAATAGTAACTACATCTCCATTTACTTTAGGTATTTTAGAACTTTCAATAGAGCCTTTTATCTTAACTCTCAAAGCATTTACCTCTTCTTTAAAAAATGCAAGAAGTGGGTTCCATTGATCAAGGATTCTAGATAAGCATTTCTTTAAAGACAGCCAGCGTGTACACACAAGTTTCAAAATTTTTCTCATTTTAGTATTATACAGCTGTTGAAACTGTTTCAATTTTTCCTTCATTTTAGAACTCCTTTCAAGATAATAATAAATATCAACAATGTATTCATCCACATTTATTGGTAAAGAAGCTGCCCCTTTTTCAGCAGCTAAATTTAAGAGGTGACAGGTGCACCTCATAATCTGCAAATCTGAATTTTCCTTTCTTAAGATGCCTGCAACACCAGTCTTCAAGCCTAACATTACTGGTGCATTATCGGCACCAAGTGCTAAGCAATTATCCAGAGCTGCATTTTCTTTTAAAGTTTTAATAATTAGCTGTGCTATATTAAAACCTGTCGAATGTCCTTCTAAAGTGGAGACAGAAAGTAAACTGCACTCAATTTCTGAAGACTGTTGAGATCTCCCATAGAGGGCGTTATAGCACCCTTCAACTGTGTGAGAAAAGTTTTGATTTGAGCGAGAGTTGGCGTGGGTTTTGAGAATGTAGTGTGAAGAGCTGTGTAACGTGTATTTGCTATGTAACTGTAATATGTAATATAATGTAAATAAATGTATGTATTTAAAATGTGGAGCAATTTTTAAGGAGCATACTTCATATTTTTTTGAAGCGACCAGTGAGGACAGAGTCGGTCTTGGAAGCTGTGGATTCTAGTGGTTTAGTCGCATGCTTTGTTTGGGAATTTGTGGAGTTTTGCAGGAAGTGAAGGTAGGATTTGTTTTGATGTTTTGTTTGAAATTTGAATTGTTGTAAAATGTTGGAATTACCTAAGTAAAGAAAGTAGCATAGCGCAGTTAGGTCTACGTTAACTAATTAACAAAGTTGAAGCTTTTATTAAGGAAGATTCTCTCGAGATAGATGTTATGAATAAGGTAGATACTTTAAAGGAATTTCAAGCCCAAATAACAGATAAGGAAACTAATTTAAAACGATTACGCTGAAGTGAAAAATTTTTGTAATTGTGATGATATTAGAAGAGGAAATTACTGTGTCAGAGGAATATTCAGAAAAAATTATCCTCTGCAAACAAAAGATAACTAATGTAATTGATAGATTAATGAAAACGAATATTAGTAACGTATCCTTTTCTATTCCCGCAACTGCTCAAGGTACACTAGAAAACCAAACCTTTAGAGAAACCAAAACTGTTAAACTTCCTAAATTGATAATCAGTAAATATTATGGTGATCCTGCTTCTTGGTTAGAATTTTACAACCAGTTTGAAAGCACTATTCATAATAACAGTAATCTTACCAAGATAGATAAATTTAATTATTTAAGGTCATATTTAGGGGCTACGGCATCTAATTGTATAAGTGTTTCGTGTTAACAGAAGAAAATTATGATGCTGCTTTGGATATATTAAAAGGTAGATTTGGTAATAAGAATACCCTTATACAGACACATTTGAATGAGTTACTTAAAATTCCTATTACCGTAATTTCTGGAATAAAGGCCACATCAGCGTAAATGCCGCACTCGAAAAAAATGGCGGGAAAAAAATTAAAATTACACAGAAACGCCGCAATAGATTAAATTGCGCGTGACATCGTCGTGGGCTGTATAGATGCAAAAACTCAACCTAAGTCCTGATATATGACATACCAGTTAAGAAAAATGCATGAAATGAAACCATAACTCAAAAATAAATTAAAGGTAAGAAATGTATAGCTTCTGTGCCGTTTAGAGACATTTTCAAAAATTTTCCGCTCCCTTCTTACTTAAAAACTATCCAACAAGTACTTGTACCCAAACTGATGGGATCTGTATTTGGCAGAATGCCAAGAAAAAATCCATTCATGCTGAAGGGGAAATACGTCAGAGTTCGTTATTGCGAGGAGGCAGGTGGAGTCGTGTCCGCCTTTGAAAAAAATTGCAGAAACGGCAGGGGTGGGGAGAGGATGGGTCCTGGAAGATTCATCGAATGGCACAGAGGAGAGAGACTATTCAAACTGATGAGAATGTTGATTTGAAAGGGGGAAGAATGTTATTGTTCTGAGATCTCGTTTAGGGTGAATAAGGCATGTAGGTCCGTTCAAGGGAAAGAATGTAAACAAAATAACGTTCGCAAAAAGCAACTGAGTGGTCTTTTGTGTGGGAACAGCACCAGTCTATGCACAATGACAAGGCCATCCAAACTATGTACAATGACCATCATAGGAAATATTTTATTTTTAGTGCACCTAAACGCCGCACCCGCTGAAAATTTAAGTTTTAAACACGTAAACAACGCAGCGTTTCTTTCGGAATTTACGGTATTAGAAGTATAAATGATTTAGCTGGATTGAGAAGGTTGTTTGACAAAGTTGATACTCAAATTAGACGTTTAGAGTCATTAAGAGTTAAAACAAAATCTTTCAGCACTTTACCGATTCCCATTTTGTTAGAAAGAATTCCAAAGGAACTTCTTTTAGAATTCAATAGAACATATCCAGATAGTGATTGGAGTTTTAAGGATTTATTTACCTTTCTAGACAAAGAGATACAGTCTAGGGAAATGACATATTTATTTAGTAGCAAAACTGAAAATTATTATAATTTGGGTAATGAATATAAAAGTAATTCTAGAAAATTTGAAAATAAAAAGCTTAATACTAATAGGAATATATCAATTGCTAGTTATACTACAAATGTTAAAAGAAAGTGCATATTTTGTAATAGCCAGAACATGAATTTTGCGAATTTAAAAGTGTCGCGGAAAGGAAAAATAGATTACAAAGAGATAATCGATGTTTTTACTGTTTCTCAAAATTCCATTTAGCACGATTCTGTGAAACTAAACTCAATCCATGCAAGAACTGCAACAGCTTAGCTCACCACTCCTTGCTATGTGAAAAAAGTAATAAATCAGCTGAAGTCGAAGGGGGGAAAGACAATTCAAATGCCTTGACTCAGTGCAGCTCCTCTCAGCGGGGATCAAATGGCAGTGGCTTTACTGCAAACTTGTACTGTCTTGGTTTGTTCGAAAGGAAACTTTAAACTATGTCGGGTGTTAATGGATAACAGGAGCATCCTTGGATAACAAAATCTTCGGCAGATGCCCTTAGCCTTAAAACCATTCGAAAGGAAATATTGTCAGTTTATGCTTTTGTGTCAACGAAAGCCATAAATAAAACTTGCAGTGTAGTAAAGTTAACACTGAGGAATAGGAACGATCCTAAGAAATATATTGAGATAGAAGCATTAGTTACTGAAATGATTACTCACATTGCATTCCCCAATATAAATATTCAAAATATTTTTGAGCAAAAGGATTTAAATTAAGCTGAGGCATGCATGGATTCAGATGAAGATATTCACATTTTAATAGGAGCAGATAATTTTTGGGACGTCATTAAAGAGTCAAAAGTAGAAAAAATAACCAAAACGCTAAACTGCATACAAACTATTTTTGGCCTTACACTCCAGGGCATGCAAAACAATTCTGAGGATAAAATTTGGGGAAACATAGTATCAACAAATTTTTGCGTTGGCACCGATATGCAGATGCTATGGAATTTAGAATCATTACGAATTACAGATTTTTATAAGTTATCAATTGCAGATGAGAATTTGATAAAACAATTTGAAGATAATTTGAGGTTTGTAGATGGAAGATACAAAACTTGTTTGTTATGGGGAATAAAGCCAATGGATTTAAAAAATAACTTTTGTCTTGCTAAAAAAAAAGACTTGAGGACTTAAAAAACAATTTCGAAAATAATGAGTGGTTGGTGAATGAATACAAGGACATAATTAAAGATCAACAGAGTAAAGGAATGATTGAAAAATGTTCTAGAGATGCAAAGGAATATTTCACGCCACATAGAGCAGTTGTGAGAACCGATAAGGATACTACTACAGTTCGTGTGGTTTTCAATTGCAATTCGAAAGCAAAACTAAATCTCTCTTTGAATGATTATTTAGAGACTGGGCCGAATTTGAATCCCAGTGTACTGGATGTTATTTTAAATTTTAAGAAATTCAAAGTTGCATTTTGTGCTGATATAGAGAAAGCATTTTTGATGATTGGAATTTCAGAAGAGGATAGGAAAATTTTTTTTAATTCTTGTGGTTATCAGAAAATACAAATGAAGACTACAAAATAATGCGTATGACACGTTTGCCATTTGGTTGTAAGTCATCGCCATTTATTTTAAGTGCAACAATATAAAAAAGCACTTAAAGCAGTACAGGGATAATAAACCCGAATGTGTTGAAATGTTGAACTCTTGACTGTATGTAGATGATTTATATTTTGGAGAAATAGTGTTGAAGAGGAATTTAAGCTGTCTTCTGAAGCTGTGTCGATTTTAAAGGATGCAAGTATGATTTTGCCAAAATTAAAACCTAATTCTGAGAAACTGAGGTTATTGTGGATGCAGAATGGACTTAGCGATGATACTTCTGATTGTCAGTTGAAGGTTTTAGGCTTGAAGTGTAAGCCAGTAAATGATAAATTTTCTTTAGATATAACAAGATTAATGCATAGTTTAAAGAGCACAAAGCATTATGTCCTGCATGTTGCAGCAAAGATTTTTGATCCAATTGGTTTTGTAGCTCCATTTGTAGTTAAGTGTTTGCTAAAGGAAATTTGGGAATGTTGTATTGGTTGGGATGAGAAATTGCCAGATGACCTTAAAATTAAGTGGACTAGCTGGTGTTCTGAGGCTAAATATTGGAAGGATATTTCAGTTCCGAGAAATTTATTTGTGTTGTGATAACTTAAATTCAAAAATGGAAATACACGTATTTTGCGATGCGTCTCCTATAGCTTATCTGCTGTAGCGTATTGTCGTTACTTAAATGATAAGGGTGACATTTCCATGTCATTTGTCATGTCGAAAAGCAGAGTAGCTCCTTTGAAGAAATTGACGTTGCCACGATTGAAACTAATGGCAGCAGTCATAGGAGCTAGAATAGGAAAGTATCTGGGAGAGGTTTTTAAGGATCTTATTGATAAATTTGTGTATTGGACTGATTCCTTAATTGTTTTGGATAAAGGGTTCTGCGAAACAATGGAAACAGTTTGTCAGTAATAGAGTGGTTGAAATGAAGGAAAAATCGGATCCCAGGTCTTGGAATCATTGCAGTGGAAGGGAAAATCCTGCTGATTTAGTTAGTAAGGGTGTGCCAGTTCAATGTTTGTTGAAAGGTGATCGTTGGTGGTGTGGTCCATATTGGCTGAAAGGAAAAGATAATTTTTTCCCTAAGCTTCCACTGAAGAATATCCCACTGGAAGCAGTAGAAAGTGAGAGAAAGGGATGCGTTGTGCATACTACTGCGATTAAGAATTTTGTGATTGATGATTTGCTTCATAAATATTCTTCTTGGACAAAACTTTTACGAGTTATAGCTTGGTGTCTCAGATTTATTGCCAATGTGAAATGATCATCAATAACAAGGACAAAATCAAATTTTCCCCAGACTGGAAAGCTAGTGTAGCACATTCTTGGGTAATCAAGTCTGTGCAAATGCAAGAATTTAGTGAAGAAGTCGATCATTTGAAAAAGAGAAAATTGGCGAGTCCTCGCAGTAAACTCAATATGTTGAATCCATTCTTAGACGACAAGGGTATTCTAAGAGTGGGAGGACGACTAAGCTCTAAGAGAAATGCTAGCATCACACAGAATGTAAAATATCCAGTCATTCTGCCTAAATCACACTATATTACAGAACTGATAATACGATATTATCACTATAAATATCTTCACGGAGGAGCACAAATGCTCCATTCAGAAATCATGCAGAGATACTGGATTATTAATGCATGAGCAGCCATTCGCAAGATCATTCGTAAATGTGCAACATGCTGTAGACACAGAAGTGAGCTGTCATATCAAGCAATGGGCGATCTTCCAGCATCCAGAGTGAATCTCGCAAGAGTTTTTCGAAATGTGGTGTGGATTTTTCGGAGTTAAACCGAGGAAAGGCGCGGTGTTTGGATCGTGAAGATCTACGTTTGTGTTTTCGTATATTTTAGTACTAAGGCAGTGCATTTAGAACAAGTTGGAGACATGCCGACAGATTCCTTCATAGCAGCTCTAAAACGATTCACTGCTAGACGTGGAAGACCGGACGGAAATGTATAGTGATTTGCAGCACTAATTTTATAGGTGCCAACAGACAACTGAAAATCATATCGTTCTGGAACCAAAAGGTAGCTAGATACTTAATAGAGGAAGAAATTAAGTGGAATTTCAATCCGCCTTCTGCGCCGCACTTTGGTGGACTGTGGGAAGCCACAGTAAAGGCTATGAAATATCATATGAGAAAATTGGTTCTCAAGTTCTAACTTTTGAAGAATTTGCTACTTATCTAGCAGAAGTCAAGGCACGTCTGAACTCAAGACCATTAGTAGCGATTTCAAGTGATCCCGATGATTTTTCTGCGATTACGCTGGTTTAATGATGTTCCATTTTTTAATAGGAACATCATTAAAGGCTATTCCGGAACTAAATGTGTGCGACAAGACTAACACTTCACAATCGTTGGAAACTACTTCAGCAAGTGTCGCAGTCCTTCTGGAGGAAATGATCTAAGGACTATTTGACTCAACTGCAAGTTCGCACAAAATGGCATCGTGCTTCAGCAAATATTAAAAGTAAATGACTTAGTAATCATTAAGGAAGATAACACACCTTCCTTAAAATGGAAACTGGGATGTATCACCGAAATTTACCCCAGTAATGATTACAGAGTTCGTGTTGTAAAAGTAAAAACTGCTGATGGTGAATTCAAGAGACCCATTCACAAACTGTGTGTATTACCAATAGACAGTTAAGTATCGTGAATAATTTTGAACTTTAACTTGATACTCATCAATATTCATTTAAATTCTCTAAGTTTTAATGTTATTGTACATATTCATGTTATTAATTTTGTGCAATTGATTGTTTACATTTATATGTTGTTTAGGCTTAGTTAGTCATTTATAAGAAAGCTATTTAATCTAGAAATTATACACTTACCAAGAATAATGTTAAGTAATAATTTCATATAAGAGGTAGTTGGATGTCCTGAACGGTCATCCGTAGGGAGCATGTTGAGATCTCTCATAGAGGGCGTTGTAGCACCCCTCAACTGTGTGAGAAAAGTTTTGATTTGAGCGAGAGTTGGCGTGGGTTTTGAGAATGTAGTGTGAAGAGCTGTGCAATGCGTATTTGCTATGTAACTGTACTATGTAATATAATTTAATTAAATGCATTTATTTAAAATGTGGAGCAATTTTGAAGGAGCATACTTCACACTCTGGGTTAAAAAAAAGAAATAATTGGATACAGTTTTTTGTGTGTGTGATTATGGCAAAGTCATGAGGGCTATCTGCCTAAGGGGAAGGATGCCTTCATGGAGGACTTTCTAAGGGACACGTTGTATGGCTCGTATACACGTTACACATGGGGAAAACCACGAAAACGCCCATGCAGCCAGCCCATTCGCAGGATTCGAGCCTCAGGCCGAACTACCAGTGTTCAGCGACTTTACCGCTGGTGGGTGGATACAGTTTTGAATCGGTATTATTGCTTCCATCGGTAGAGAGGCAAAACGAAGCTGTTTTAATGCAATCAATAACTGAAGATTTATTTTTCAAACCCATTTCTTTAACAATTGCACTTTTTTTGGTCCTTGCACTTGAGTATTTCTTAGTGATTTCACTATTGTGAAACATTTTTCTAAATAAAGCTGCAGGGTGATCTGATGCATTCAGTGACAGATTGTGCTCCAGTAAAAAGGCAGAAAACAGACATTCTGCATTAATAACTTTTTAGTCCTTTGTTTCCAAAGAAAAATTTAAATTTTCGGTCTTTTTGTTTTTTTTCAAAACAACTCATGTTATTCTTGTGTACGCACGTTTGAGAACACTCGCCCTTCCACCATGCGAAATTGAAAAATCGCAGCGACAGACAGTACACATTGTAAATTTATTACATTTCCTTGAGGAAATAATGGAAGGAAAGTCAACTGTGTACGATTTTTGAAACGTACTCGAGTATTTCACCTTTCTTGCAGACATAACAAAAGATAATTTCTAAAACTATTTTTCCCGAAGGCATGTATACTCACACAACTAAGGACAAGATGAACGAAATAACTAAAGAACATCCAAATAACAGCCTTGAGCTTGCTTTGTGCTCATTGGCTAATTGGAGCTGGATGCCCATTGGAGAACTGGAGAACGACATTTCCGGATACGTATGCTCTCACTCACAAAGCAGAAATTCTCATCTGATTCGCAAGGTTTTGTTTTAGGTATAATCTAGAGAAAATTCAAATGCTTTCAGACGTTCAAAATCACTTTTTTTTTTTTCATATAACAAAGCATTAAGCCAAGCTCCATAAAAGCGTGAAAAATTTTAAGAATAAGAAACAGTCAGGAGAAATATATTGTAAATTGGGTTGGCGGGAAAGCAGTCGAAAATCGAGAGAGTTGGCAACTTTGGGAGCTGATTCATCATCTGTTTGTATCCAAATGAAGCACACTTGTTGCTCATGATTTAATGTTGTGTTGTTTACATTAGTATTGATAGATTGTGACTTAATTCTGAGAAATATGGGTGGATGCACCACATCAAATTATTCATATCATTCCAGAAATAACTGTAGTATGTTCTATTTCTCGAGAAATGAAGAAATATGAAGAAAATGGGTAATTGATTCTTATCCATTGGAATGTATTCCGAGCACAGGAGCATGCACTTTTGAAGTAAGTTCAGCTTCGTATGTTTTCATAACTGCTAAAAAAATAAGTGTTCGTGCTTCAGCAAAATGTGTATTTTCATTTAAGTTTTGCTAATTAATGACAAATTGAATGAATATTGTATGAATATGTACAAAATGAATAGCAGAATGTGCTTGTATAGTCAATACACAGATACCAACTTATCGAGTCGAGTGGATGCTGATGTGAATTTTTATTATTATTATTATTATTGTTATTATCTCAAACTAATAAAGTTTAAAGAATTATATTTTACATATGATTTCAATTTTGTTTGTGATTATAACTATGAAATGACCTTTTATTTAAATTTTAATGCGTGATTCATGGTTTAAGCCATATGTTATATTTTTACCCTGGTATATTTATCACCAAATCTGTCTGTTGGCCCCAATGTAAAAAAAAAGTAAACATCGTATAATATGACTAAAATTAAGCATTATACAGTCAAAAGTCGTTAATTCGGACACCCATAATCCGGAATGATCTATAATCCGGACCTCAAACTTTCTGAACATGCGCATAGGCGTTTACGCATGCACGTAAGACCTTTACGACTGCGAATATGCGTGTGCACAAGCGCAGAATACGTTTTCGCGTGCGCGTTTAATGTATAACGGACGGTACAAGCTAAAATTATCTAATTATCTATTTCAGTTAACGTTGATGATTGCGTTGTTCCTTAATCTTTGAATTGGATCCGGCTTATTATTTTTTGCAGGCTGTTAGAGCAATTTTATAAAAAGTAAGCTTGAACTTTCGATTATGTCAAATAGAACGCTGGAGCTCCCAAAGGATCTACAAAACGAAAGTATGTTTCGATGTCCATCAAACAAAAAGTGGAATTGCTCCAACTGCGTGGGGGGGGGGACGTCGCGGTGCGCAATGAACTGGAAGTTGATCTGTCAGCACTATCGTTATCTTCAGAGCAGATGTTTTATTTTATTCGGCTTATAATTTCTTATTAAATGTAGTATTTCATCTCGATGTACTCCGTCTTTGATATGATTTAAATCAAATTCCTCGTCATTATAAATATCACGAATACAAATCAAATAGTTTTCTGGTTGCAATTTTCTAATTTCGGCTATGCATAATGTGTGGTTTACACATGTGCGTGTTTAAAGAAATGTTTAATAAAGTAAACAAATAAATATTAAGCTTTTTTTTTTTTTGTAAATTTTGATACCCTTTAGATCATAATTGCTCATTATTTTATAAATTACGGTTTCATATTTTTAATTTTATAATTTCTGCATGCCATCTTACCAGATTTAAACTGATGATCTATAATCCGGAAAAATCGATAATCCGGAATCACCAAAGTCCCGACGAGTCCGGATTAAAGACTTTTGACTGTATAATGTTTCCTTTAAAGTAACATAAATATATGTTATTTATATTCATTTTGAAGAAGGTAAGCATTAATTTAAGTATTTAAAGAATAATTTTTTTACTGTATTTTGTCGTATTAAGTTCATTTTTGTGTGACCTTGCATCAGGTAGACTATATTTCCAACTCTTGCTTTTTAACAGCAATTGCTGTCAATTTATTCCCAATGTATGAACATGAAATATATCTTAAAATGCTGTTCAAGCTTAGTCACTCATTCTTTATTTAATTCACTTTTCCTATCAGAATTAAAATTTATCAGACAATTGCTTTCTTAATGTATAATTCTGATTTAATACAGAATATGGGGTCTTGAGGTGAGAGACTGGATTTGGAATGTGGATGTGATGCACACTAGGATCTGCTATTGCTGCTTTTGCTCATTTCATCATCCATGAGCTCATTTCCTTCTATTTGATGTGGCACTTTGATCCATTACAGTTTAATCTTTATTCTGCTGCATGCAGTGAGATGGCAGATGTCATGTACAATTTTTTTGTTGTTTTGTTTTTGTCATTGATGCCAAAATATTAGAGAAACTAAGTTAATTAAGGTATATGTTCAACGTACTAGTGTCCATTTAGCTGCTCGGCGAATAGCCATTAACTCTGACTGAAATACAGAATTAACAGACTGTAATTTAGCTTTCCAACTGTATACTGCCTATTTATTCTGAATAACACAGAATGCACAGGTTGTGACTTTTGGGCCATCCTGTGTCCATTTTGACACCATCTGTGTAGATATCTAATTAGATATGATTCTCCTGCATTTATGGTGTAAATCTCTGCAAATCGTATACAGCTGGATGGATGCTATGGATATTGATTTTAGTCCTGCAGTCTGAGCTGACAAAGTGATTCTGTGATAGAATTATATCTTACTGTGGATTAGCATTCAAGTACTGATTGCCTTTTCTTTGAGTTTTATGTAGATTGGCAAAATTACAGCCATGTTGAGCAATGCCAATGTTGGGGAGGTATTACAACCTTTAGTTAGCAGCAATGCCGAATTTCTTTCGATTTTCAGAAGCTTTTTTTTTTTTTTTTTTTTTTTTTTTTTTTTTCCATGGTGTTATTGATATAAGGCTCCAGGCCAATGCTGCCTGACAAATTATAGGTTCAGTTATTGTTTCATACAATATCTTTAGGAGACTGGGTTGAATCCCCAAGACACTGAGGTGGTGTGCATTAGATCACTATTGATTATCAGGATTTTATTACTTGGGTATTCTATTCAATATGCGGATACTAAAAAATATTTTAAACTGTTGTAGATTTTTATATGATAATTCTGAATTCAGAAATTAAAGTGTTGTGAGAAGCAACATGGTTTCGTAGTTTAACTCTAGCAGCTGACTTATCTGTCTGTGGCTGGAGTTTATATTCTCAGCACCAGTTTTCCACTGGTTGAAGGGCTTTTTGGTGTTTTACAGGATTCATAAACATTTCTGCACATAGAAATAAAGTACTTTGAAGGACTTTAAAGTGCCATCAATGAAAAAAATTAAGAACCTGCAAAGCAAATAAGAACTGAATAAACTAAACCAATTATCTGCACCTAAATTTCACTTTTGCAACTTCACTTAAAATTTATGTAAATTGTATGTATAAAATCTCGAAGTAGATGCATTAATACTAAATGTAATCTAATGTTTAATTTAATTATAAAACAAATTCAACAACAAAATTAATTTTATAATTTTTTCAAGCAATTAGCACTAATTTATAAAATTTCTTTAAACATTTTATTTTATACTTACATAATCCCACATATTTTAAAGATCAGTGGCTTTTTCTTTAAATTTTACTAACAGTTTTCTTTATATTGATTTTTTTATGCATAATTTCTTCATTTACTCTCTCAGTCCAGAAGTTTATGTCAAGTGGCATAAGTTAAATTGTGAAACAAAGTAATAATCAAGGGTGATTCAACAGAAACCTATACTATTGCCAACACAGCTGCTTACTTAGAGGCAAACAGCCACTGATCAGAAAAGGCGTGAGCTCCCAACGTTGGTATGGGTGGTAAATGTTTAAAGTTAGCTGCACATTGTCTGACACAGTTAGTGTAGCTTCATGTAGATTTGGCGGATTTGTAATCCAGTTTTTAATATAAAGTTCCAGCAAGGCACTTAACTACCAGAGATGATAGGTTCTTTTGTATTATTTTAAGTCTCAGCTGTAAAGAATAATGAATGTTAATTTTTAAATTTTTGTGTTGTATCCTGACTACACACATCTTGTGTAATTTTGTGTATAGTGAGGATTAACAGAAGATGATGACTCATATTAACATGTAGAGATAACTTCTAAGCAGTTACTTACAAATAATTAAATAACGTAGTTAGATACCCATAGTCATAACTGATTTACATACTTACAGACAAAAAAAAATTCTGTTTTAAATTTCTAAAAAATACTCATTAAAAAAGATAAGAACATTTCACAGCATCTAAGAACATTTTACAGCAGTTATAATTTATGGTACTGACTCTAAAATGGTATTAGTATAATTAAAATTAAAAGCTACACAACATTTATGTTTTGTAGCAACAAACAACAAAAACGTTTGAAAATTCTGCTAATTTACATCAGTTTAATTTTCCTCAGCAACTAAATTTATTTGTTCCAATAAATAAATAAATCAATGTTCACAATAATCTCTGGTTTCTCTCCTGATTTGTTACTGTTTCGAGAATGTACATTTGAAGAACAATTTTCTCTCTCTTTATAAAGTCAATTTCTTTTTTAATGAGTTTCCTGTTCATTTTAGAATTTTCAGATTGTAAACAAGATTTTTCTTATATACAATTTATATTTATACTATATAAAGTAAAAAACAAACTATTGTAAACTAAATGAACGGGTATATAGTTACTTGCAGCTCATGAAAACTTAACAGTAAAGCCACCGTATAACCATGCGCTAGAAAAAAAAGCCTCCCTTTTCTGCAGTGCAACTCAAGTTTCGGTGGATTTTTACATGGACATAACTTTTTCCCTTGTCCCCAAGTAAATTTCTTTATGTTACTTTTATTAATTTTGTCATGTAATTCTTTAATGTGGTGTTTCTGTTTTAACTAAATTTATTTTATTAAATGTACAAAATTTTCAAAGCTAAATTTTGTCAGTTACTTACAATTTTTTGCTAGCCAGTAAAACAATGTTGGCAAGATTTAACTAAAGTTTCTGTTATTCTAAAGAATGGCTTGCTCTTAGGATGAAGAGAAGAAACTGTTAATTAATTTTTTTTAATAATATGAGTATTGAGAATAAATATGAAACGATAAAGCTCAGTGCTGGGGCCAGAGTGAATGTGACAGAATTTTAGAATTTACTAAAGCACCAAACAACAATATTTATGCCATAATGTTTAGAATTTATGGCAGGCACTGAGGTATGTATGGCGCACTGACACATTTAAGATGAATCTTTTAATAATTGTCAGTTTTCAATTTCTTTGTTTTCTTCAATTTCGATGCTTGTGTCTCGGTGAAAGAGACCTTCCCTTGTTTTACATTGCAAATGTTATAAAATCTGAATATTTTCAAAATTTAAAATTTTACATCTCTATATTTTCACTGTAGATTGAAGATATAGGTATCAAATGGAGCACTTAGCGAGTATACCTTGAATATATTTTTGATCCAAAAATTCCACTTTGTACGCAAACCGCAAAAGTTCATATCAAAATCAAAGCACACACACACGCACACGAAAAAAGAAAAAACTTTTTAACGTCTGTTGCATTAAACACTCTCCGCATAAATTAAAAATAATGTCACAAGAAACAATTTTTCTCCCCACCAAACCAATGTTATTATTATTGAATGCTTCTATGTACTAATCCCTACTCCCCCCAAAAGAAATCTGAAAATATTTTGAAAAAAATTTTTAAATCATAAATGTTAAATTTTTTAATTTTGTTTTAAAAAATCAGCCAAAAGTATTTTCATAAAACTATCTTTTTATGACATTTGGAGACCTTAAACTTAGTACATGCACATTCAGTTACTAAAAATATATATAAATTTACATAGTCATATAACTGTTTTTGTAATCATGTGGACAGACTGGGAGGAAGGGAAACTTAGCTTCAGAAGTAAATCTTTTTCTTGTTGGAATACTGCAAGTTCTTTTCTCATTCTATTTGTTAAATAAATACATAGAGCGTAGGACCAAGCAGTAATTTTGAGCAATTTTAGATGCCCTAACTCTGTTTCAAAATCTTTATTCTTGTTATAAAGGCCAGTTTTTCGATAGCTTTTAATTGCTCAATATTACCCTAGTGAAAGGATATAACTTCTTCATTCATGGCAATATTCAAGATATTTTAAGAAAACCCATAAAGCTCTGAAAAACTAATTTAAAAAATATAAGCTGAAATATTCAAACAGGATTTGAAGCATTTTTCAAGTAAAGCACAAGGCCAGAAGTCAGCAAAGATACATTTTTATAGCATTCATGAAAAGAATGATTTATCATTTTGAAATTACCAATAGCTGAATTATGCATAGATAGATACCAGTTGGGCTATTGGCATCTGCTGACCAAAAGTAATGCATATTACTAGAAATTTTTTTTCATACAATAAGAGTTACATTAACGTGGATTTTGAAGAAATTAATATATACATTCAATTAGCCTGAAAACGTATATGGTTAGTGGAACAAACCAAATCCTAATAAAAAGAAATTTTTAAACAAAAATACATATGATAGGTGGTTTCTTTTTCCTTAAAAAATTATTTGCTAGGCCTTTATTCCAGCAAGTATGGATCAAATGAAACTACAGAAACTGAAATACCCTCCCCCCAACTACTGGCTGTCTGCAAAATGTCAGCTTTTGGAAGCAAATTGCAATAAGTACAGATACATTTTTTGTTTTTGTAAGCTTAATTTCTATCTGACTTTGACAGCATTTCCTTTAAATTTATTCATAAAGTATTTTGAATTAAAAAAATTGTTAAAACTTTATACATGCATCACAAAATTAAGTGTTTTTAAAAAAAATACATATATACATTATATATAACAGCTTAAAACAATTATTGTTGTATATAAACTTTATGTATAAAACCTTATGTGAAATTCTTGCGAACTTACTTTAAAGGATACATTCTAAGACCTTTATCCATTCCAGGTGTATAACACAGCACTGCAGCTAATGCAGTTTCAAAAACTAATCCAAAATTTAATACATGGTTCCTGAAATCAAAAATTCATTAAATTTTCTCTCGCAAAAAGCAAAACTAAAAATATTATCAATTTTATGATATAACTTACCTCATTCCTTGATGGAGAATTGAATTCCGCCTTGTTTTACAGATGATTAAGTCAGCCCACTGTACTATCACGATAGAAACAAAAAATGCTGTGTGACATGTATACTCCAAAGTCTTCCTATCTTTGAATGTCTAAGAATACAAAGCAAAATATTTATAAATTTTGTCCTCCCTCTAAAAAATATATTTTACAGTTTAGTAGAGAAAGAATTGTATGTAAAGTGGTTTTCATAAATTAAAGAAAAATTAGAAAACAACAGATTGGTTGAAAAACAAAAGATTTCGACGAAGTTTGAAGCACACAAGAATGACAATAAGAGCTTTGAAATGGTCTAAAAATATATCATACAAAAAACATTAAAAATTAGCTCTAACGAGAATTGGCCTAAAAGTGCTAAGAAGAATTTGCCTAAAACTGAAGTGCCAAAATTCAGTGGCAAAAAAAAAAAAAAAAAAAAAAAAAAAAAAAAAGTACTTCAATATAAAGTTGTCTTGTATAGTAGGTAGAACCAGTCTTTTAAAGCATTTATAAGACCTCTCTGCTGGTATTGGCTCCCAGTTTTAGTACTGTAATGTGTCTTCCTACAATGGACCACACCCTCTCAAGCTAATTTAAATCTAGAAACTCAGTTAATCAGTACAGATAACAGTGTTTTGTTGAAGGTATAGTGCATAAACACAATCATAAAATTCTAGGATATTGCCACTACATTTTAATGGTGATTTGAATGCAAGTTTAATACTGAACTTCAGAGTTGTAAATTTACTGTTCAGCATTACTCTATAAGATTTTATTTAAGTAACTAATTCTGTTATTAAGACACAATAACACGCCGAATAAATACTAATTCAGAAGTCAAACAACAAAAATCAGCGTTATATTTTCAAACTTTTCACAGGACTAGTTTCGATGGTTTTACGGAACCACCATCCTCAGCTGCAAAACCGCAAATTGAAAATATAATGCTGATTTTCGTTGTTTGACTTCTGAATTAGTAACTAATTCTGTTGTTAAAGAGATGGTTAGCTGTTCTGACACGCTGATGATATCTGATAAATGATTTATTTATTAATCCATTAAGAGCAGGTGCAAGAGTGATTTAGCTGTTTTTAGAAGCTAATAATTTCTTAATAGTTCGATTTGTGAATTATACAAACAGTCAAATACTCAAAATCCGCCAACCTGAAATCCGCGTTGCCTCTCAGAATATAAACATTCAGTTTATAGGTTCCAGAAACCGCAACACTGAGTACGATATCAGGGTTCGTACACATTTCTGCACAAGGAAATTAAGTACTTTTAAGGACCATTAATGAAAAAAAATTAAGGACCTATGAGGAAATGAGAACTGAATAAATTCAATTAAAAATATTATATCTATGCCTAAACGTGAGTAGGATGCATTATTATTAAACATAACTTAATTAACGTAATCATTAATATTTTGAGAATAAAATTATTTTTATGAAATTTATCAAGTAGCATTAAATATTTTACACTCATAATAACTGGACATACCTGAAAGAAGATAAGTGACATTTTATTTACGTAATGTCTCATTTTGTCATATTAAAATCAGAATCGGCATGATTCATAACAAAAGACTGGCTGTTGTCACCGCTCCTGCTCGCCTATAGAGAGACCTGCTGATCAGAACAAACCTGAAAGGCCTGATGTAGGCACAGGTTAGGCAAGTTATTGAAAGTTAGCTGACTCTGTCTTGACGCTGTTAGTGTTGTAGCTTTGTGTACAGTTACCAGAGGTTGTAACTCAGTTAATATACTTTAATGGTTCTAATTAAGCCACTTAAAGCACCAGTGGTGATAAGTTGTTTTGTATGCATTTTAAGTCTCACTAGATGCAAAGAATAAGTTTCACATGATTTTTTATATTTTTGTGTTTTACCTTGTGACCATGGTAAAGGTTTAACACATAATTTACATAATAATAACTATACATATCTTTGAAGAATAATTTTCTTTCTCTTTACATATTGAGTTTCTTTTTTCAACACTTTTCCCTTTCCTATAACTTTTAGTAATACGAACATTCAGAAGAAATATGAAATACATATGGTAAAGTCTGGTCACAAGAGCTGGTGTGGCATAATTTTTAGAATTTAGGGACACACTGAGCAACAAAATCTAGAAATGGCAAAACTTTTAGAATTTAGAGCAGGCATTGGAAGCAGAATTTAGAAAGGCAGCAGAATTTAGGATCCACAGAGATTGCGTCAGGTGACAAAATGCCTAGCGCCAGCTCTGCATATGATGCATTAAGACATATTAGATGAATCTTTTGAATTGTCAGCTTTCAATTTCTTTATTAATAAAAAAATTATTTTTATAATGCCTGCCCATATGATAAGTTAGAAGTACTTTTGATATTTTCAATGCTTGTATCTAGTGAAAAGTAGAGAAAATAAAGGGAAGATAAAAATGTTAAAGCGATACTAGAATCAGAAGTAAAACATTCAACTATTTATTATGTTTTCGTTGTTCTTCCAGATGTTCTTCAAAATGTAAGAAACTGCGTGTTACTACCATGGAGACATTTTTCATTTTATCACATTTTCTGGAATCTTTTAGAATCGTTGGTCTATAAATTTGCTTTAAAATCTTTTTAAACTTTCCAAGCTTCAATGTCTAAAATCCTACAGAAAAATTACCCCTGCCAATTCTGTAACAGCAAAAAGCCAGAAATGTTTTTTAAAAAAAATTGGAGGAAAAAAGTGTGAAATTAATTTTATAGAGAAAACTGATGCATTTTCTGAGAATTCTGATCACTCTGAGAAATGGGAAAAATTCTTAACATGAAAAAAATTAAAAAGACATTTTTAATTAATTACATAGCTATTTTGCTTTTGCTAAAAATGTTTTGTAAACTGTGCTGAATAGCATTATTCCTTGCTTATTTTTCATATTCAAAAAATTGTATAATATGTGGCCAAAATGAAACTTTATACTATGACAGTGAAAAATAAAAATGCTTTATTTTAATGTTATTTCTTAAATATAATTCCAATATTTACCATTATTTTAATGAAATTTATCAATGTTAGAATGTTCTAAAAAATCGTTGAAAAATTCTCAGATTTCGGAATTAAAAATTTTCTATAGAAACGAATTTTAAAATCGCCCAAATGTTGATAAACGCAAAATTAAGAACCGTTTAATAAAATAATTCACATCCCCAAAAGCGGCAAGTTGTTTGAGAGCTCTTCATTACAAAAAATGAAATAATTTTGAAATGCTTATGTTTCACTTCTTGCTCAGAAACTCGAGTATCCCACCATTGTTTATATTACAAATAGGAACAAATTATAACTCATGAACCCATTCAAAAATTAGCCATATTTGTCAGTGAATGGCCAAAAATATTCCTGCAAAATGCTAATTCACACCCAAAATGGCAGTCGTAAAAACAGACAGAAATTTCACATGATTAAAATTAAGGACCTTCCGTCAATTTTGGCCAAAATTAAGGACTTTTAAGGACCAAAAATCAATTTCGAAAATCTTAAGGACTTTTAAGGACTCTTAAGGACCGTACGAACCCTGGATATATCGAAGAAAAAAATACTTACCGAATAATAATCAGTCAAAACGAAAATGCCAAATTATTAATATAAAAAAGTTAAAAAAATAAGTTTTTTTTCCCTCTAATCTGCCATCGAGGTAAAAAAGCAGATGATTCACACTACTCTTTGTTCAAGTTCATGATTCACGTTGTTGTATTTTCTGAGCTTTGTTATTGTGGTGATGGCGATAAGGAGCGTGCCTTGCGCCCTCCGATAAGTGTGGCAACCCTAGAGGAGAAATTTCTTACGAGTAGCGAGCAGAGCGAAACAGGCAGGCTGTCGGGGAGTGTGCGCGAAGTTCCGAAATAAAGCTTAATTTTTATTGTGCACTATGTCTCGTTAATATTTATATTAATGCAGTAAGAACATAATCTGTGATGTGGAACTCGAGGATTGGTGGTAAAACATACAGGTAACAACATGATAGGAATCACATCATAATGGTAACCTTGGAACTGTGTTAAATCAGGCCGTATGAACAGTTCTCAAGCACTTTCGGTTTTGACTACAAGGCCATCACTCAAGATCTCCAAACCAGAAGTAATGGATTACATCCGTTTTTCATCCTCCTGAATCACAGATGAGTAGTAATTATAGATCATTTTATAATTCTGTTTTCCTACTTATCATTTAATTTCATTTTCTTTAGTTAAATTTTTGCTTTTATTTTTGGCTTAAAAACCTTGCACAATGTCTGATGTTTATGCCGTCCAAATTCCGGTTTATAACCGATCAGACCCATCTTTATGGTTTATTATGTGTGAAAGTACTTTTGCTCTTGCCACCCCCAAACCTATCACAGAATCCATTACTAAATATAATTATGTAGTTTCTCATCTTCCTCCAGATATCGCATCACTAGTACGGGATTTACTTATGAAACCAGACCCTATTGATCCATATGCAAAGCTTAAAACTGAGTTAATAAATCGTTCAGGAGAATCTTCTCAGCAAGAAATTCACCAATTATTATCTGGAGAAGAATTAGGTTCTCGAAAACCTTCCGATTTGCTTAGAAATATGAAACATCGAGCAGAATCTTTAAATGTTCCTGATAACTTAATGTTAGAATTATTCCTTCAACGTTTGCCTTCGACTGTTCAGTCTATTTTGGCAGCGGTGTCCACTTTAACTGTAGATAAAGCTGCAGAAATTGCCGACAGAATTTTAGAAGTAAATCCAACCCCAGGGACTTGTGCCGTTTCTCGCACAGTCGATCAGTCTCTTGAGGATGAATTATTTAAACAAATAGAAAAATTAAACAAACGTATTGATCGCATTTCTCTTTCTCGTGGTCGCTCGCCAAATCGCGGAGATCGCAATAAGGAAAGAAGCAATTCCAAAAGGAGAGATTATTCTGTTTGCTGGTATCATAGACGTTTGGAACTCGAGGATTGGTGGTAAAACATAACCGGAAATCTCCATATTATTTCATTTCACGAGATCGCTTAGTGCTGCCTTTTTTATCCGGATCAGCCCTTTTTAATACAATGACAGATACAAAACGCACTCGTGATTTTACTGCTTATAACATTGCAAAACGTAAACATGTTGCATTGACGGTAACGCAAAAAGTGCAAATATCTACAAAAGATGCAAGCAGGTGCTACTCCTCGATTTATAACAGAATGGTATGGAATTGCGACACAATTGTGTATAATATACGGAAAAATAAAGAAAAGCTGTTGAAATTTTACAGCAATAGTGATTCTAACACCGGAATCCGAAACCAGAAATCTTTGCATGAGCCAAAATCGGCAAACCTTAATGCTGTGTACATATAATAATACAATGAATAATATAATCAATTTATATATGTAATACAGTCAAAAGTCGTTAATTCAGACACCCATAATCCGGAATGATCTATAATCCGGACCTCAAAGCTACAAACTGCGATGCATGCACGTAAGACCTTTACGGCTGCGAATATGCTTGTGCGCGTGCACAAAATATGTTTACGAGTGCGCGTTTAATGTATAACGGACGGTATAAGCTAAGCTAAAATTATCTATTTCAGTTAATGTTGCAGATTGCGTTGTTCCTTAATCTTCGAATTGATCCGGCTTATTTTTTTGCAGACTGTTAGAGCAATTTTATAAAAGTAAGCTTGAACTTTCGATTATGTCAAATAGAATTTCTGATATATATTTATTAATATGTAAAGGATCTACAAAGCGAAAGTATATTTCGAAGTTCATTAAACAAAAAGTGGAATTGCTGCAAAAAATGGATAAAGGCATATCCTTTGTTTATCTAAACTTTGTTTATCTTTAACGCTGCGGGGCGCAATGAATTGGAAGTTGATCTGTCAGCCCAGCCCTATCCTTATCTTCAGGGCAGATGTTTTCATTTTATGTGGCTTATAATTCCTTACTAAATGTAGTATTTCATCTCAATGTACTCCGTCTTTGATATGATTTAAATCAAATTCCTCGTCATTATAATTCGCTTCCGATAGCGAAGAAAGTAACAGAGGTTATTGAAAACGAAAAAATTTCGATTGACAAATTAGTCGGTATTCTCGACACAGCAATTATAGGACTTGAACAGTGGAACTTTGTAACTGAACAAGAAATTATGTCTGTTTATAGAATTAAAGAGAATGTATTATCACATAAAAAACGAAGCAACTTAAACAACTTACATTGAAAGAAATGTTTAATAAAGTAAACAAATAAATATTAAGTCTTTTTTTTTTGTAAATTTTGATACCCTTTAGATCATAATTGTTCTTTATTTCATAAATTACAGTTTCATATTTTTAATTTTATAATTTCTGCATGCCATCTTACCAGATTTAAACTGATGATCTATGATCCGGAAAAATCGATAATCCGGAAACGCCAAAGTCCCAACGAGTCCGGATTAACGACTTTTGACTGTACTAATTTAATGCATATAATAAATTATTGCAATAATGTATATAATAATTTAATTAAATGTATCTAATATGCCTTATTTTACACTTTTAGTCCGAATATTATGCTTTATCTTTAGTGTCCTAAAATCCGCACAACCTCTGGTCCCAAGCTTTGCGGATTTCTGGAAATCTGCTGTATCTTGATTTGGTTCTGACCCACCAAGTAGTAGAGGATCATTTTATTGAATTTTATTTATGTCTGGTACTTGAAGTTCCAAAACAGACATCAGATAGATTGTAATAGTGGTAATTAAGTAAGTTAAAGTTGGGTTGCATGATAAGCCGAACATTATAATTTAATTTTCAGGAACTATTTTTGAATGTCCTTGACTTTTATCTTTTCTAAATTTTTCTCAATGATAAGTTTGAAAACGGAATAAAGTTTACAAAAACATTTCCATTGTTAAACACTTACAAGGTAACTTATGCAAACGTACAGTTACTAGAATTTGATTTGATTACAAATATTTCGATTATTGTACACAAAAAACCAAACTGATAAAAATTTGATAAATATAATAAAAATTACATCAGAAACATATAATAGCAAGTTATTTTACACATATGCACAAGTTGCCTTAAATGTATATGACAATGGACATTTAGCTTCATACTGACCAAAATAATAAGAAAGGAAGAAAAAACAAATTCAAGTAAGGTATTAATTAAGATACAATAACACACCGAACAAATATTAATTTAGAAGTCAAACAACAAAATCAGCTTTATATTTTCAAATTTGCGAAGGACTAGTTTCGATGGTTTTACCAAACCATAATCCTCAGCTGAACGGTTCGGTGAAACCATCGAAACTAGTCCTTCGAAAATATAAAGCTGATTTTTGTTGTTTGACTTCTAAATTAATATGAAGTAAGGTATGTAAAACTTGTCTGGGAAATCATTTCAATTCCAGTTCTCATTAATAAAGATATCACACATTTCTTTTCTGGAAAATTATTCATCGCATTACTTATTGAAAGCAGTTGGAAGAATGCATGTATACAGATTTCTAATAATGATATACATAGAAAATAATATCACTTCTCCTTAAAAAAATTTTTTTTTTTTTTTTTTTTTTTTTTTGGCACCATTTATGATAACATAAAATTTCAACTGAAACAGACTGAATTTTATCAATGGTTAGTAGGTGCTATCTTAGATCTAAAAGAAAGATTATATTTTCATTAAAATTAGTTAGAACATGAAATTAATTACCCATTCCTGATTGTAAGAATCTGTTAAATCATTTATAGCTGCTGAGTCCCATTCCCTGCGAAGACCTAATAGACGACTAGGCCAAAACCCATTTTCACTCATAATCACAAAATAAGTAAAAAAGCCTGCTGCTGCTTGCATCATTCCTATCTGGCCATATGACATCGATATCAACCTTTAAAAAAAATAATAATTCATTGACATACATATAGAATGAACAAATAAAAATTTTCAAGACATTTTAAACATACAATACACAAAGTACTTTTTATCTTCCGATAAAGTAGCAAATAAAGTTACCATTTTTAGCAAATGATGAAGATTTTTTTATGTACTTCTACATAATTTTTTAATTTTATTTTAACAGATTTTATACAATTACAGCAAAATCCAAAAAGTCACAATAGTCTTCCTGAAGAATGCATTTAGATGAGATGCCATGTTAGGCAGGAAAAATAAATTAGTTTTTTTTAGCTCTTGCTACACAGATAACATTTTAGATAGGCTTCACACATAATTTATCATAATGCTAAAAGTAATCTAATATTGAAATCATAATCAAATTTATTTAATTACAATGTAATACAAAATACAGCAAGTGGAATGAATCCTTCCTAAACTATATTAGTTTAATACATGCAATCAAGATAAATCCCCCTTCCCTAATCTTTTACCTAGGTGAGGTTTCATGCACTAAGAAATAACTCCCCAAAGACAGAGAAGAAAAATACTATCACCAGAAGAAACCATTATAATCAGGCCCAGAATGAAAAGACTGGTTTAAGGAACATCCTTCTTGGACATTTTCAGAATTGAACTTACCGTTCATTTACTAATTTGTCCTTTTTCGGATCTCTTGGCTGGCGCTTCATGATGTCACTTTCAGCAGTTTCATATGCGAGTGAGATAGCAGGAACCTGTTGGAATGGTGAAGCAATGTGCTATTGAAGTGCTTAAGCTACACCAAGTATCTACATATGGTTTGGGACACATGGCTTAACCCAGTATTTAACACCAACTCATTGTAAGGAATGCTTATTTTTCATATTATGAAAGTAGAGAATGAATACAGATGAAGCAGAATTTTCCAATGATCTGTTTGTTACACCTGAATATTCTTCAGATGAGAATAGCTTAATTTAGCATCCGTAAAAATTAGAAAAAATAATGAATATTTATTTTTTTGTGTTTTGTAATAAAAAATAACACAAAGAAAAAATATACATGGGTACTTTTATTGAAATGGCTATACCAGAACTAAGACAACAAATATTAAGGAAAATTATTTCATACTACAATAGCATCAAGTTACATAAAAAATGTTTTCAGGGAGCTTCCAAGGAAGAAAATTATACTCATCATTGGAAATTAAGTGTTCCACAACCATATACTATATAAAAGAATTCATTAAAAAGGAAAAAAAAATGTATAATATTTAATTTCCAAAGAAAACTGATACAAAAATAGAGTATATAATAATTATTTATTGCAGCTTACCACACAGTACATTTAAATTGCTACAACTGAGCATTGCAAAAAAAATATTGGCTATTGTATCAAATCTATATTACTAATTACACTAATATTAGTTTTTATAGAATATGTTGTTTTGTTTCACCAACTGCTTTTTGTTAAATAAGATTATCTTCCTACAAAATATTCATCTCTCTATGCATCTATTCTGCAATACTACTGGACAGAAAATTAACCACAAACGACCATAATATGTGATAATTAAAATACCAATAGAAGATAACAAAACATTAATGCCATCCTACAATTAGCTAATTAAAATGCTTGCTAGGTTCAAATAAAACTGTTATATGCTATGTGTGTTTTATTTCTTCAGCTGGTTGCCCAGCAGATATTAATGGATATGAAAAAATGATTGTTTATTACATTTAACAACACTCAAGGACATAGCAAGCTGAATCTTCATATAGAAGTTCACTCTTGTAATGAACGTTCAAGCACTAGTATGCGAAATATGCACCATAATCAAGCTGTATTCATCACCTGAACCATATTAAAAAATGGTATGCTAAGACACAGATTCAATATATAACAAACATATGCTGTTACGGTAACAAACTATTTTGCAATAACACACAAGTACTATCAAACAATCATTGCCACAAAAGGCTATTTCTGAATAAGCACACAAAAGGCTATTTCTAAATAAGCACACAGAAGGCAACTCTATTTCATAGATATTTGAAGCACAGCACTTTGGAAGCCTGCAGATAGCTGTCACAAAGTTTTAGTTACAATGATTATAACTTCAAAAACTATAAAAACATTAATAATGTTTGAAAAATGCTATCCAATCAGATAAATAGTTCCTTGCTCATGTCTACACTATTTGCAAGCAGAATAATCTGCACAATGATGCTTTAAATCTTTAAATTATCATTAAGTACATAATAACAATCTATAATGCTCATTTAATACCAACCATGGAATAATGTGGTTGTGGTGATGTTCCCTTTTTTAAATGTGAAACACTTTGGGAAAGAATTACCAGTACTAGCACGTTTTATTTTTTCATTTTCATTCAAACCTTAACTATCAGCATTAAACTTCGCAAGTTTTAATTATTATGTAATTTCTAAATAAAATCAAAAATTAAAAGAGAGAAAGATTTATTATTGTACAGGGGGCTACTGTCAGTTGGACATTTCTACCAAAAAATGTTAGTGGCAACTTCAGAGCTAAGATGCAGATGAATTAAATAATATCAAGCAAAATCCATATAGTCAATCAAAGTGTGCCACCACAGCTATGCTTAAGGTGCTATTTAGGTTGGAGACAGTTTAAATCACACATGACAATGATATACATTTATGATATATTTCTTAATTCATAACTTTAAAATAAAAAAAAATAAAAAAAAACACTAATATCACTCTCCAGTTCCTTATTTACTATCACCAGAATTATAAATTAATAATTATTATAAAGAAACTACCAGAATCCAAGCAGCAACCCAGTAATAATACTGTACTTCCTTTTCTCATACCAATAAGGTTAATCCTTATCTTGTCCTACCTGCAAACCTGAACTATATGATTAAAATATTTGTACATAATAAAGTGTTTCGTGAGTTAAGAGATGGCTTTATTTCTTTAAATACTGATCCTACAGATGGTCCAGATGGAACATCAAAACATTTTATAGGGCATCAGATGAATAAAATTTAAGCTAAAATGGGAATATTATTTACCTCTTGAATATTTGAAAAGTGAAACAAATGTATAACTAATTCTATAAAAATATTTAATGTTTTTAATCAGCGAAACCATCAATTAAATGCATTTTTATTTAAATAAATCAGATTAGAATGTAAAAAAAAATAATATTCTTATGAACTGTATCTGTTGCTTTTAAATAGCTTAAGTTTTTTAATATAACTGATTAAATTTGAAAGATAAATGTCTAACATTTTACCGAATGGCAACACACTCAAATGAAACAACACATTTACAGTAATTGACATTTAAAGTGAATGAATGCAAAATCATGTTTTGAGACTAAAGCCCTTTTGGGTAAAACTTAACCTTAATGTTAACTTAAAGTTTCAGACTAAGACAAATAACTGAAATTATGATCATATAGCATGGTGCAATACCCTGCAACAGCAGTTACCCTAACCATTTTATTTGGACTAGCAGTCTGAAAAAATAAGCATAAAAACTTTTAACAATAAAGTGATTTTGAGTTTGGTTCAAAAAGTGATACTCCGAATTTTATAGAGTACACAGTCTGAGTGTTCTTTAAAATTGTGGGATTTTTTTTAAGCCACTACCGATTGCTATACATAAGTGGTGACTAACTGGCAAATTGAAACCCTCATAAAAAGTAGAGTTGCATCAGTGTTGCAAAGCAAGTTCAAATGCCTCAGGAAAAGTAGGCATGCTTGATCAAACATATGACTGTAGAGCTCTCTTGCTGAAAACTTAGGAGGTTATCTTGAAATCCAAACAATACAAAAGAAAATAACTATAATTCCACAGCAAGGTGAATCTACATCAAGAAACAACTAACAGGCAATAATCACTAATAATGTTAATGAAAATGAATTTATCACAAGATTGTATTGCTTTATTGCAAACATAATTGCAAATGAATTTCTGACATATTTTATGAGTCTTTTTATATACAATGTATTATGCTTATTCAAGATTCTCCTTCTTATAGTAAGATGGTATTCCCGTCTCTCTTATCATTTAAATATCTAATACTGAAATGGCTAAGGTATCAGGTTTTAACGAAAGTTTTCTACTACCACAAATATTGTTTGCACTGCTGTGTTTAATCATATTTTGTCAAATGATTGTTTGGCATTTGAAAGAAAGAGAACAATGTGTTGTGAAATTTAAAAAAAAATATCATTAAGTGCAAGGTGCCTGAAATGGAACTATCGCGCTACCAGATTAGCACCATCATTTACTTCCAGTTCTGTTGAAAACGTCAGTTACAGAATGTCATCAGCTCATGTGTACTGCTTTACTAATGTTGTATCATATGACACTGTGAAGGTTTGGTACCAAAAGTTCAAAAACAAGGTCTATTCAAGAAGCAGAGAGCTCTGTCCGGCAACTTATGTTGATAAGGCCTGCCTGCGAGAACTTGTGGAAAAGATCAATATACAACACTCAAGAGCTTCCTAAAGAGTTACACATTAGTGCCATGTCCATAAATCACGTCATGCATCACATAAACTTGATGTACAAGTTCAGTCGTTGGGTACCACATAAGCTGACTCGCTCAGATAAAGATAGACGTGTTTGAGCTTACACTAATCTGCTCAAATATCAACACAAGGACAAAATTCTAGACCAGATCGTCACTTGTAATGAAAAGTGGATTTACAACCAGTTATTTTCGCAATGGCTAGATAAAATTCATTTGAAATCGAAAATAATACTGAAGTATAATTTTTAGGTGTTCTAAATAACTTTTTTTTTAGATCGGTTTTGTTAAAATCTTTTCGATAGCACATGCTAAGGGTTTCAGGCCCGAATTTAGGCTACAAATATTTTAATTCAGTTATTCTAATGCTGCATGAATTAAAAAAAATTGAGGTTTACAAAACGGAAATAGAACTCATAAAAAAGTTCAAGAATAAACAAAGACAACATTGTGAAAGGCACTTTTCCCTATCATAAAGAGTCTGTCAATCAAGACTGTGACATCATCATCACTGGCAACTTTAAAAATTATACTAAGCATTGTCAATTTATACAAAGTCTCTGACATGAAAATTAAAATTTTATTCTACACTTTTGTTTAAATGTTTAAATCTAATTTATGTGTGTCATAGAATATTTATTTCAAATGCCTTTGCTTTTAATACATTTGGTATAAAAAAATAATGAATAGTGTAAATTTTTAATGCATAACTTTAACAAATACATTCAGAAATTCTAAACAACTCTTCACACATAAAATGATTATACAGTACAAAGTCCGAGATACGGACTCATTGGAACTTCAACGATTCTGGATTTGGGATTTTTTTCAGATGTCAAATCATCAATATAAATCTAGTAATATTTATAAAATTTAAAATATGAAGTAGAGGTTTATGAAATAAGGAAACATTTATGATCTCAAGGAAATCAAAATTTACCCCAAAAAAGCCCAATATTTATTTGTTTGCTTTATTAAACATTTCTTTTGATACAAGTTGTTTAAGCTGATTTTTGTTTTATGTTACTATTTTCTTTTTACACTGGTTATCATAAATTAAGGAAAAATCACAAAAATAGTGATAACTCCCTCAAAAATACGCTAAATCGTGTAAAAGCTGAATATGTTGCCAAGTAAGAGTAGACGAGTAAAACTCCAATATGCAAATTAGTGGCGCTGCACTCGGAATACGTCATCTGCAAGGAGGATAAAAGTTCATGTTTGA